TTATAGTCTTCCAAAATCTAATTTTTCATATTTGTAATATTTTAGTCAGCACTTAACTGTTCTTTACAAAATTACATTTAACCATATTGTTTTTCATTTTTCATATTGTAAACATCCAGAAAACATGTACGCATTGATGGCACATCATGGACACATATTCAAACGATTCATAGACTGATAGAGAGAAAAAAAAATAGATTCCTATACTGATAGAGAGAAAGGTGTTTCAACATCAGCAGATCATTGGATATTCCAAACAACTGATTTAAACTGAACTAATACATACATATATACACACACATATATATATATTTGTTGGTTTCTATAGTAAAGCTATCCAATACAGAATGGGATGCTCTCAGGTTTGGTTTAAAAATTGAGACCAGAATTCAAAAAGAAGACATAGTAGATACTAAATAAAAAATCATAAACAAAATGACTGAATTTACCATATATATATATATATATATATATATATATATATATATATATATCACTAGCTTAAAAGCCACCTTATCAGATGGCATTTAAGGTATCCCCTGTAAAGGTCTCTTGATTGAGCCTTCATCACAATAGGTAAGGCGGAGTAGATGCAATAAGCAACAATAAAATACAGAAGAACTTAAAATTGATTGCTGCATTTAAGTATTGCATTAATATTTAAGCTTAACTATTGTTCAACAATAATTATTCTGCTGTCACTTAATTTAAAGACTGTTTGATGGATGTAGGTCCTTACTTTCTGTACAAACAATTATTTTTATCTCATGGGTAACTTATGCTTGATTTCACAATTAATTTTAATTATTCCCAAATTTATTTCTAAGTTATAAAAATTGTTATTGTACAAAAAAATTTGTTGCAAAAAATCATGTAAAAAAAAAAAAATTGCTGAAAACAATCACAGTAATGAAAACTTGGGAATCCAAAATTTCAGATTTGTGGGGATAGAATTTTTTTAATTTGCTGATTTCAAAATGGCATGATATGTTGGGCTATGGCCTCTAGGAGTAAAGTCAAAAAAGTGTGATGCAGTGACACACTGCCATTTGCGTTTATTATATATATATATATATATATATATATATATATATATATATATATATCTTTGAACAAAAACTTGACACCATATACCATAAACATTGATTTGCAAAAGCACAATGCCATTTTTTTTTTCTTGAAGGATTACTTTTCTGCCCACACTTTGCCAAAGGTCACCATTGGCACAAATCTGATGAAACAAGGGATAATATTTGCAAAAAAATATATTCAATGAGGAGAGAACTTTGGAACATGATTAAAAATAATTTAATAGTAAATAATTCAGGATTAAAATAAATGATAAACAGTTCCAACCAAGTGTAAAAGGGAAAAATCTCATTCATGAACCTCTAAATAAACATAGAGAGTGAATGAAATGTTCTTTCTGCTTGCACAGATCCGGTTGATGTAACTTAATATATTATTGCTTGAAGAACATGCAAGTGGTGAGTAGACCAGGCTCTGTGCAAAACAGCGAAAAAACTATCAAGATATGTGGTAGCACAGGATTATAGATTAGATGTTGAACTATTGCTGAATCCTGTGCAGACTGGGTCATCTTAGAAGGCTCAGATTGTATGATTTTATATTGGCTGGAACTTGTTGACATGTAAAGTTCTCTAACCTCAGACTAGTCCATCCTATGTGTTCAGCATCACACTGCTATTTGTACTTATATATAACAGAAGTACTTTGAAAGTAGGGCAAACAATCTTTAACAAAAGATGGAAACACTGAATCGGTCTTAAAAACAACTTGTAGCTTGACAATAGAAAAACCTGATGTAATGTAAGCTGACATTATCTGCACTCATTTGACTCTTCCTACCTATAGACATAGCAATTTCAAATAAATAGGACAAAGACTGGGACCAAAAACTATCCATTAAAGAATTGGTAGCTTTTGGTCCCAATCTTTGTCTAATTGTCAAATGTCTAATTTTATGCCCAACCACATGCATAATAACATTGGTAGGAAAACTTTTGTCAATAAAAATGTGATGAATTTTCTCCAGTCCCTGGTCAAGAGTACAGGGAGAACAAATCATCAATATGTGATGGACTAAGATGGAGTCAATACATTGTATATTCTTTGACAGGGCTACATACAGTTTTGAATTCAGACTTATTTTTCTCCTAGACTGATTGCCATCCAAGGCTGAAAAGCCCAGTCTACCCTACTATTTACTCATAGTTGAAGATTTTGAATTCAGTCATCCTTCTCCTAGATTGGTTGTGACCCTAGGCTATAAAACTCATTTTATCCTGTTATTTACCCATGAGGTGGGGGAGAAAGATGGATTCATACTTTTCCGAAGGGTATTTGCACATAAGTGAATATAACAAACTTGACTGGAATTTGAACTCTGCTCTCCGATTCCTCAATCCGAGCCACTATCCATTTACTCCACCATGCCACCAAACTGAACAATCATGTTTTAAAGATTCCTAAGTTTGTGGAAATGATAACTAAAAGCATAATTCATCAATGAATGAAGATCTTTTAACAGATACAATGCATTACCGTATATACTCGCATATACTCAACTTTGAAAAGCTAGTTTTAAGCTAGTTTTAAGAGGGTCATATTATACACAAGATATAAAATTAGCATATGTACTGCTGGCCCAGGCTACACCATTGACCAAACTCCATTTACTGTATCCAAAAATACAGCTGTATTTTAAAATTAACATGATTTTGATAAAACTAATGTTTTACTTAACTGTTCCCAATAATAATAATAATGCATGTAATATTCACATTAGAATCGTATTATAAAATACAAACATAACGAATATGCAACTTTTCCATTGTTTACATTTATAAGATGTTTGGCTGTTTCTAGATTGGTTGTTTATGACAACCGTTGATATTTTTAAAATAATTTTTTAATATTTCAAAATTGTATTTAAAATCGTCTCCAACAAAAGTATGGATGCACAGCTTTGGAATAATGTCACATGAGGTAGACTTGTTTCTCTTGATAGAAGCAAGTTCTTTTTACTTCAGAAATTTTTCCTCAAACTTAAAAAGATTTGAAAGTGAATTTTTTTTTTTTAAATTTACTAACCAGGTTCACTTAAAATTAGAGCAAATTACATCACTTCTGCGCTACCGTACGATAAATTCCCTTGACATAAAGTTTTCAATATTGACATGTATATCAATTATAACACCTCTCAATCACGCACCTAGGCAAGCACTACGGTTGGAAATATCTCTATTAAAAAAATTTCTGCTAAAAAAGTAAGTAATGTTTCTTTCAAATTACATTAAGTATACTTTAATCATTCTAAATTTCCTAAGATAACAAAAAAAAAAGGTGTAACTGATTTTTAACTAAGTTTGTTTTTTTTTGTTTACAAACTCGGGCAGAAATGTCCGATAAATCGAATTTACTATTTTTTTTTTATTCAAGAAAAACGAATTTTTTAAAAAAATTTTAAAATTTATAGGAAGGATTAAAAATCTGAAAAATATTCAAAAAAATACTTTTGGTCTTCCCTCTTTAATTTTAACAAATATTTATTTACACGTTAAAATTTTTTTTATCCATTATTTGGGGACCTTTTTTCTCCAGGGTATACCACTTTTTAGTGTTACCAGGGACAAGCGGGCAAGCCTCACTGAGTGTTTTCATTCTTTTTTACTTTTTTAACTTATTTAAAAAGAAGATGGGATAAAGAGATAGAGGAAAAGAGGTTAGTCTGTTGTAATTTGGTCTCTCAAAAAAAAGGATACACGAAATACATAATCATTTTTTATAAGTGAACATTTGGGAGTCGCACGATACAAGAGATCATGCATTACATGAGTTTTATAAGATATTTATTTTATTTAGTAGTAATATTTCCTTCTATTCATTAAGATATTTGAAAAGAAATGAGTAACAGCGAAATGCATTGAATGGATAAAAACATTCGTTATTTTAAAAAATTCACTACAAGCTTCAATAATTCTATTGATTGTCAACTGTTTTAGTTTTTTGTTTCTATATCTTTAAAATATTTCACACAGGCGATATTTTCTACTAATTTTTATAATTGGTTTCTTTTATCAACATCTGTTTGAATTATTCTTTTTTCCCTGGAAGTTTTCAAAATGAAAATGGATTAGATCCACATTATTTATAAATAACAAATAATAGTTGTTTCTCTATAATACAGGGTGCGATGGTTTAATTGTCCTCTAAATTATGCAAAAATGACAATAACACTGACAACACATTTTTTTAACAGATATTTACCATAATTACACAAAAATATATTGAAATACTAAAGAGTAAATTCATTCAATAAAATTGCCATAGGCTTCAACCATGGCCTCCAGAGGACTTCGGGATCTCCTGCAACTCTTCTGGACAGTCTCCCTGTTTAAGTTGGTGAATGCTGCCATAATCCTTGCCTTCAGTTCATCTTCGGTGTTACAAGAAGTTTTGTTTGTCTCTTGCGCTACTGCACCCCCACATAATAATCAAGGGGGCTGCAGTCTGAGGAGTTAGGTGGCCAGATGTAAAGGGTGATGTGGTTGTAGAAATTATCTGACAGTCATGATTGGATTCTTCAGCTTGTGTGGCATGCTGTAGAGTCCTGTTGCCAGACATAGGGTATTCCAGTAGCCATGCTCTTGACCCAGGACAGCACTTCCTCCTCAAGGCAAGATATGTTGAGTCTGAGGCCCTCAACTACAAATTTATGAGTTCTTTTCTTATCAGAATGATCACAGTAAGTTTTCCGAGCTGCCATACCTTCATAATCACCATTAGACTCATCCAACTCTTTCTGAATCCTCTGCACTCTACTCAGATTGATACCCAGTATTGGAACTTCTGGTGTAAATGCCAAGCAGTACAGCATGCTGTTTCCAAATTTCTGCAGAGTGAATTGCATCATGGTGTTTTTTTTCTCACAGATGGTGCCTAACTGACCCTACTATATTGTGCAGTCAACAAAATCTATGGTTATATCACAATGAAACACTGGTTCCTATAAAAACACTGAAGTTAAGCAACATCAAGCCTGGTCAGTACCTAAGTGGGTAACCACTTGGGAATACCAGGTGCTGTAAGCTTGGATGTGTGTGTGTGGTGTAATGGATGATGGCTCAGAATTGTTAATTGGAGAGCTGAGTTCCAATTCCAGTTAAGTTCATCATATTCACTTATGTGCACATACTCTTGGAAAGGAATGAATCAACCTGTTTCCCCCCCAAGCTATGGATTAATTAGTAAAACATGTATCACTAAACTATTATTATCATAAAAAAAAAAAAAAAATTGTGTACGAAATATTTAGATTTTTCGGCATTAAATAATGGTGTTGATATGCCACTAAACAAAAACAACCAACCTAAAGTTCAAATAAAAATATGAAAATTACTTTTACATACTTAAAGGTTTCAGATGATTTTTAGAGTTTGTACATGAAGTGAAGGTTTTGTTTTCTGTGGTTATTAATTAAAAAAAAAAAAAACAAAGATTTTATAAAAAAAGATTTAATAATAAAAGAAAAAGTTGATTATCATATTTCATGAAGACATCTTTATTAGAAAAAAAATAAGTGGATTCCAATTGCAAGCATTTTATCATTTGATATAAAATTTTGATCGTCTATTTCAGTGGTTCCCAACCGTTTTTTGACCATGATCCACCTAAGCAAAAATCCAAAGAATCCCATCCACCACCCCACCCCTGACATAATTCTTATTATTCAAAAACTCATATTTACATGGAGGAGGCCTAAAAGGCCATTAATTTGGTCAAAAACAAGTATTCAAAGAACATGGCATCGATGGAAGAGAAAAATAAAAGAATGAAAAGACAGTTGAAGAACTGAGGAAGAAATTCCTAAGAAATTGTTGAATAACATTTAGCAACTTCTACATGATTAACCTAGAAAATAACATAGTTAAATGAAGGGTTTTTTATGGTATTAAGTAAGATGACATTCTCATTTTAGTCAATCATAGATGAAATACATGAACTACAAAAACTTGAAAAAAAAATCTCTGTACCTAAGTTCATATACAAACTTGACAATAACAATAAAATCCCATTTCTTGATCTACCGATAGAAACTCTTAATACATTTATTACCTTCCCATATAAAAAAACTAAATAACAAACACATGCACTCTCAACTATAAAAATGAATGTCCTAACTTACAAAATAGCTATTATATGAAACTTAAACCTTGCAAAAGCAAACTCTTCAACAACAAAAATTTTCTATACTGAATTAAAAAAGATTATATATATATATATATATATATACAGTACATATGTAATTACACATGTGTATACATAAGCACAAATATTTTATGTATACATACTCTATATTCACTATATTTATTAACTTGTTGACACACTCATACTTAATAAAAAAATTGACTGTTAATATCTCATTCTTGAATTTCTCCCCTTAAAAATCAAATTACCCCATGTTGGAAACTATGGATCTATCTGATTGTCTTCAAACGTACTATTTTCCATTCATTTCTGTCAATCCATAGTTCTATCCAGTTCTTCCTTTCTGATCCCAATATCATCTACAAGTAAATCAATGATGGTTTTTGCTGGCCTATCTCTTGATCTTTCCCTACCACTTTCCCAAAGCATAAGCCGATGAACAACTTTATAGGTTAACATGATAAAGGGGTGGGGTCCAATGCAAATAAATACAAGGGCGCTTGGTAAGTGAGACATTCACCAAGAAGGTGCTAACACAAATACACAAGTGGCAATTGGTAGTCCTACACTTTCAAAAGACCATTCTTTGGATTTTATCAAGAATTTCCAGATGTACAGCAGAAGCACCAGACCAGATATGGCAGCTGTATTTGATACATGGGCGAATAGTAGATTTGTAAATGTACAAGATGGACTCTGACGAGATGAAATTCTTTCACTTCCAATCATCTGGTGTGCAATTAAAAGAACAAGAGTTATAAAAATATGGCAACAAAATCCAAAGGCCCATTGGAATAGCCAAAGATAATTTCCAAAAACTAAGCAAAGTATTAAGAAACATGAAAATTTCATTAGAAGCAAAGAAAAGAGTTAAATTTCTATCTTTTTTTTTTTTTTTTTTAACAGTAAGGTTCACCTTTTACAAGGCCAGGAACTACTTTAGGTACAGAGTTAAGATGCAATTTATGTGGATAGGAGTGAAAGATAATATTTAACCATAGAATAAGTTAAGATTGTAGTGATCAGGGAAACATCCTTTTGGGAGTTGGTTCTACAGACTAGTGTTTCACGGAAAGAAGCTGTTTGAGTAGAACCTCTCATTGATGGAATATGGAGGGAATGTGGGTGGTTTGCTACAATGGAAGTGGCATGGTAGATCCCTACCATGAAGGTTAGAACTGGTGGAACCAAGGAATGTGGTTTGTCTGAGCACTTTCCGTGAAAGTAGCGATAGATCAGTGATGGGCTTTCCTGTGGGAGAGATGTTGGAGGGTGAAAAATAATTCATCACCCACAAGAACACAGAGACGCTTTTGGACTATCAAGGCTGAAAAGTCTGGTCTGGACACTTCCCACCCAAATATGACTATAGCACTCCATTCTTGGCCTACTGTTGTCAAAACTGTCAAAAGATTTCATCAAGGTTCTGATGAACATATTTGAGATGAAACACTGTTTTTGAGTAGTACTTATGTTCAAGGCTAAGGAGTGTTATTTCAACTTGATACATATTCGAGGCAATCATCAGCATGGAATCTTCCAGGAGATCCTCCTGGAAAACTACAACACGAACTGTGTTGCTGCAGAGTTTGTTCCCTTGTGATTGAAAATTGAACAAAATTAACATTATGGAAGCGGTGCCGAGATTGCTGGATATGTTCACAAGGGAACTATTTCAGAGGGGATAGATGCCAAATTTAAATAATATATGAGATATTATTTACCAGTGTAATAGACGTACTTTTTTTAGATCAAGTCTGGGAACTTTTCCAAATATGACCTTATCTCATTTTGAGATTCAAATATAGAAAACTTTTCTTTTAAAAGTCTTTTTTAACTTATATCTTCTTTCATTTTAAAAAAAAAAAAGGAATCCTTGCATGATATAGTCACTTCCTGTTAGTCTTAATCATTAAGTTTTTTTACTATCATTACATTCATCTTATGTTTATTACTTTTTAGTGTAATTTCCAGAATGTTATTGTCTGACCACTATTAAATAGAATATATTCAGATTAAAGAATAAAACTTTAGCAAAATTTAAACTCACATCTTCTATCTTGTGTTTTTTGCTACATTTCTTTCATTGCTCAGCCAGTCAGATAGTCCTGGGTATGACGATAAACTACATCTGGCAACAAGACCTCTGATTAAAAGATTGGAGGTTTTGTGGAGCAAAATTGCTTTTGTTCCTAAGCCCACCCTGACCAGAAGTGGTAGCACCTGTTAGAGTCCCAACTATGGGCAAATAGTGACCCCACTCCCAAACAAAAATTACAACATTAGGAAAGTATAAAATACATTTTTATAATAAAATTACCAACAATACATTTTTATATCAAAATGACAATACATTTTATATCAAAATTGAAGACATGGCCTACATTGTCAAAAAGAATTTTAAAAAGACACAATTTGCCATGATTAATATCATTTCTTGTAAAGAAAAACAAATTTTCATTCCTCATTTGATTTTTTAAGATTATCTGATAAAAAAATTGTTAAATAATAATAATTTAATCCTGAAATAATGTCATTTTCTTGAATTAATTATAAAGTTCGAATGTTCATATTTAGATTTCAGCATTATGTTGTGGCCTTGTTAGGGCCAGAAATAAAGACACAAAAAGAGGAATTGGGTTAAACAAATATATTAACAGAAACAATAATACAAACATATACAAACAAGAGTTTTACAGCAAGAATGTTCGGTTCGACTATTAGAGCTGACTGCTGGAAACTTCCCTCTCAAAAAGGCAGTATCTGCTCCTATTTATAGCTGGGAGATTCCATGCATGGGAGGGTAAATTATCATAACACATTAAATAACCCATAGAGGTGTTGATATGCCACTAAACAAAAACCAACCAAACCAACCAGTCAGAATAATTCAAATCCAGCTGTATAGCATTTATTCCTTATTTTCTGTAATCCAAATACCTGATATGTTGCTATCTTTGTTTATTTACACAAGTAATATTAGCTATATTATACTGAAGATACTATGCTGATGGAAAATACTGAAAGAAAACTGCAGGAACTCCTAGACAAAGGAAAACAAAAAGAAAGGACTAACTATCAATTCTAAAAAGGTATGGTATGTCATTGGCATAAGGGAGTGCTCAAGATATGAGCTTTGAATCAGAGATGTCAGACTCAAACAAATGCAGAAATTTAACTGTCAGGGAAATGTTTTAACAAACAACAGAAAATGTGATGCAGAGATCTCAAGGCACATTAGAATAATGAAAGATGCCTTCCAAAAGCAAAGCAAAATATTAAGAAACAGGAAAATTTTAACAAATAAAGAAAAGAGTGCTGAACTGCTAAGCAATGTCAATTCTTCTTTATGGCAGTGAATGCCAGACAATTTCCTCACAGATGAAAAGGAGACTTGAGGCAAAAGAGATGTGGTTCTACAGGAGGATGCTGAGAATATCATGGATGGAATGTATGAGCAATAAGAAAGTTTTGAAGAAAATGGAAACAAAAAAGGTAACTTAGAATCAGAATGAAGCAGCTGAAATTTCTGTGACATATGAGGAAAGAGAGCTTGGAGAATTTGATACTCACAAGACAGACTGAAGGCAAGAAAGGCAGAGGGCAACTAAGTAAACTTGTGTAAGCAGATAGTAGAACAGAGACTAGGAGTACAAACATTACTTAATACTATAGAGGATAGGAAGTTGTGGAGTGTCTTGATTGCCCATATCCAAAAAGGACATGGCAAATAAAAAAACAACATTAGATGTTACATTATTTACATTTAAACTTGTATCCTCGTCTTTGTTGTTATTATAATGTTTCAGCTGTTCCCTTTGGCCTTCTTCAGATGTCTGTTGATCCAGATAAACTTCATGGAATTTTGAAATGAACCCTTT